AATGTTCAAGGAGAGTTTTAGGTTACAAGATTTCTTGAATTACTTAGCATACCAAATGCACTCAATAAATAGGTTTAACTTCAATACTTTATTCTTCGTGTGTTTCGATTTCTCAATTTGGTGCCGGAATTGACAGAAGAAGGAAGGAATTTATATCGGCATTACTTACGACGTTGGCATGTGTTTTATTGACATTGATATTAATATAACGTGTTTCGTAATTTGTTAACCTCATCTACAACATTCGTCGATTTTTCAGTTCATTATAGAGATTTTTCTAGTAGGCTATGCAGGGACAGCTTCCAATCAAAATTTGGTTTATTTATGCAATTCTTCAATGTTTCAGTTTCTGAAAAATTGTCGTTATTTTAGTTCAACAGTAATTATGTGGTTAAACTGGAGTACATCGTGCATTGCACGTTGAAATATTTCTAAAATTATTTAATCAGCTTCGTATTTAAGCATGTTGAAAAGATTAAGTTACTTTTTTTTTAAAGCTTGCTGGGATATGTGAGGAAACATTAACGCAGAAAAGCAGAATGTTTTGTCTAGTGTTCTCCCCACCCCCCATTCCCTTCCGGAGCGCGATCCACATTTTTATGACCGATTGTATTAGTTGATAAAATTAGAGCTGCTTTGCTGTTTTATGAAGAAATGTTATATATGTAGATATTGGACTTTGATATTCGTTTTTCGCGTTTGGAAAGTTGGGAGTGGTAAGCTGTGGTAAATGAACTACGGATATATCATTTTCCGGATTTAAGACTTCTGTAGCACTTTATGGTTAGATGAAATCGGACTTTATGGTTGAATGTTGCAATCTGTCCTAGTATGATATCGCAGATGAATTTGCTTGGTATATGCTATGCTAAATATGGAGAAAAATAGAAAGAAGATCACTGCAAAACTAATAAACTAATCAATGACGAAATGTGCACTGCTGAGTATTGAGAAGGCTAATGTAGATTGAATTGCTCCATGGGCGCTTCATCACATGTCCGATGCACAAGTATATTATATTGAATGAATTTGAATTGTTTGTATAAGTTTTTTTCTTTTGTTGTTTCGAAACTCGCTAATTACAGACTTTCTTCATATTCGTACGGGACTGCACTCGCTTTGATCCATACGAGGTCTACAATAAGATCACTTTGTTCCATTTTTTCCAGAAGTTCTGCAGCGATTGCGTAATGCCAAAATATATCCAAGGTTTATTTTGAACGTCCATTTAAAGAGTAAGATACTAAAAAATTAAAAATTTTGTTTGTTACCAACAGTGAAGTCTCTCTTAAACAGAATTTTGTTATAAGCGAACTAAGCATGGTTGCGTAGGATAGCTGCAATAGAACTTTAGCAAATAAAATCTCATCAAAGATCCTGAATTAAAAAATTGTCGAAGAAGTAGGGTTGAGAAGATTTACGGATGAGTAAGACATTACACAGCCCTCATATATTTTCATTTAGCGCCTGTAGTAACAAAAATTTAAATTCCCAGCAGTGATGATTGCAGATATCATGAGTACAGTACATAATCGCTTTTGATGACCAAAATACTTGGGTAATTTGATGAGAACTTTTGGTAAGATGTTTGACGCAGTGTGATGGAATGATTACGTAGAGTGGTAAGATGTAGTTCGTTTAATTCTTTGCATGGTTCAGGCTGTTGCGTGGTTTACGTTGTTTGTATGGTTTGTTGTTCACATAGTTGGGGTTAGGTTGTGTGCATAATTTGGGTTAAGTTGTGTGCATAGTTCGGGTTAAGTTGTTTGTACAGTTGTGGTTAAGTTGTTTGCATAGTTGATCTAATTGTATTAAGTTGTTGAGAAAAGCTCTTCGTATTAAAGAAATTATGCGCGGTTACTATCTAACTACTATCGTAAGAAATATATTTAGAAAAAACAACCATGTACACATGTACATGTGTGTAATTATGTAACAAAAAATTTGCATTATCATTATTAACTATTACGCTATCCTCAAGATCAAATCTGGTCGTTCCATCAGAAATTACTCTCTACCTTTTCCATAAGAAAAAAATTATATCAAAAGAGAAGAAGAGTACTTTTAACGAAAATATATATATTCTTGTAGCTTTTGTAATTATTGATACCATTGTTGAAAGGACTTGTGGGAAAATATATTTAATGTCAGCATTCTACTCGAACCTCGAATATCATTTTGCGATTAATGATCTTGAGAATAAAAGCATAAGAGGTTTCTTTGCCAACTATAAAGTCAGATCCATGTGTTTTATGAGACTCCTCCTTGTGATTTAACTGCGTGAATGTTGGAGCTTGATGAACCTCCCCTGTTCCTGGTTTTGTCGAAACAGTATACAAATAGTGAATGTTCTGCTGCTAATTTTGCTGCCACAGTTTTATGTTGTCTGACCACAGTCGTTTTTAATATTCGTCGGTATCTGTTAGTTAACTTTCGTCTCATCATGTTCTGTGTAAGATGTAACATTACCGCGGATATTGCAGACCGTGGACGACAAATAGTACAGCTATTAACACCACAGACTTTTCTGCTGACCGAGCCTACCAGACCACATATCACCGCAATTACTTATGCGTAGTATCCATTTTATTTTGTCTACCCCCTATCCCCTAGAAGGCGTTGCGTTTTTTCATAACATTTTTTGGAACCATCCTCAAAGTTACTCGTAATAGGTTTTTGATCTCTTTTTTTAAATAAAGTTTAGTTCATGTAATTTTTTTATTATTCCACTCATAATCGAATTTTCCCCGCAGTCTCCTGACCTACTTTTGAGCTTCTTTTGATAGTCTGAAGTTTTCGGAACCACTTCTCGATACTCCCTTCATCCTTAGCATTCCCCCACCGTACAGTTCACAACGTTTTCGCCATGTTTTAGCATGCTTACGAGATATTTTTCGCGTCCGTACTGGAGTATTGTTTGGCTGGTGTAAGACTTCATTTAAAGACAGCAAAATAACCCACAAATTTTCATTTGCAAATTTTGCCAATTTGGTTTAACGGTATTTTCCCTACAAAAAAACAATATCTAATAGCCACACGAAATTCGAATTTTTTCATTGCTTTGAAAATAAAACTAGCGTCGCTAAACCCATAACAAATCGAAGGGCGCGAAATTGCGGCAGACGTTGTCTAATGTCGTATAACGTTTTCTTTATCTACCAAAGCATCATTTCCGAGAATTCTTCAGATGTGTGTGCTATAATCCCTGTATTTTGATGTCTGTTTCATTGCTCATATAACACTCGCAGATTGAGGTAGTTTTTTTTTTGCCATTTCGTGATTTAAAAGCACTAATGGTGCCATCCAATAGTTACTATTAACCTTCCCAGACAAGTTTTGCATACTTGATTCCGAAATGTAGAACGCATGCTTCATTCATTGTCGCAGAGCAAACGCGGTACGTATTTCGAACTGATCCTTCGCATGGCGAAATACGCGTCTGTGCCGGCTATCTTACGTAACCTAGTTTCTTTTCAGTGTCCTAAAACTACTTTGCGCACTATTTTTGTTTTTTGAACCCATTGTATGGACGACCGAAGCATTTAGCCCTGTTTAAAACCAGCGAACCCCTTCTTGACCATTTGTCTTGATGGGACACAATCCATATAATACTAGTGAATGATATTTTTCCCCCGTAAAAGGTAATCCTTCCCTTATTAACGCACGAGATTCAGGTTTTTCCACCGTTTTAAAGTTGCAATGGCAGCATCATAAACCGCAGTTTGGCAAATTAATGGCCGGACTGCCATGAAGTTTAGGCGCTTTTCACTTGTAGGTTCGCACTATCTAATAAACATATAGGTTCAATATAATGGCGACATCTCCTACCGACTTAATTTGAGTGATATGCTATATATAAACTGATGCTGTTATGTTGACTTGATCGATGAGCTAAAAAAACGGGGTGGAAGAGAGTTGAAAAATGAGGGAACTACTACGGAATCCGCTGTTTATTTATACAATTCCTATCCGCTTGTGTTATGTTATTAAGCAAAAGTTCATCTGTAGCTGACGTGAGTAGACGTGAAATAATTAAATTGAATTGTGCGCACTGCATTTTCGGTGAGCCGGTGGTAAAATAATTTATAGTTTGTTCGTATTTGATATGGATTTAGATTTAGATCCACAATCCAGTAACTATATAGAAATCCATTGCTGATATTCAAAATTTCACGTGATGAAATATTGATGCTTTTTTACTAAGATTTTTTTAATTTTTTGCTTTCTAGGTTATGTTTGACTCCTTTCTTTATTTCTTTATTTCAATTGAGTAACCCGCTGAAGTTGGTTGTGTACACCCCAACGACAGCATGAAGACTGACCTTGTCGTTGTAGAAATTGTATGTGTTGAACGTAAGTGTTATTTAGTGTAGACTACTTAGTAAAAGCAAACATTCTTTAATATAAAGTAATATTAATATTATCAACCTTGAGTGGTCGAGTAGATAAAGGATCTCTGCTAACAACTTAATGGTCGTGTCTCAATTCTAATCTCAAGTGCAATATAGGTTTCAATAAAGCCGATAAACTTTAGATGATGCCAGTGTTTTAAGGCATTAAGCTAATAGTAATAATAATCATAATTCATTAATGTCGTAATAATTTGTCGTACAAGGGTTCAAAATTTAAATGTACATTGTGTAAAAAGGATGTGCGGATAATTAAGGAACTACAATAGAAACATACTTAGTTTTGCTGATGTATTATTATATTCCTATTATAAAATTGTTTAATAAAAAAAAAGACTGAACAATATTGCGAAAGCAATTCAACCTGGAAACCAAAGATTGTTGAATGAAAGAGCTTTGTTAGAAACGTCTTTACAATCAGTCATTTTAATGACTGAAGAAAGTAGTAACAAATCTACAATAATTTGAATGACTACTATTTTAGTGATAATTCATTTAAACTATGTCAGTGCAACCACTATTCAAATATTCGATCTTGATAAGATATTGACAAGAAAAACGTTTAAAAATAAAAG